AAAATACCGTATTTCATTAACTGATGTAATGTTAATAAACCAACATATTGAAGTGTTAATATCTGTTTTGAACCATTGTAATGGACTGATAACCACCAAAAACTGGTGGTGATGAGAAAGTCACATGATGAACCAAAGCTCATCACAAACAGCTTTTCTATGAGCTGAGGAGGACAATATAGAAGGTGCACACAGTGTCATTCACACAAACACTAAACCCCATCATGGTGACACTCATGATACTGAAATAATGCAATAAACATTGATTTAACAACATTATATGTACACAACTGATAAGAAAAAACTAAGAAGAAACATGTTATTTCAACAAAAAACATCAACTATGAAGTGTCATGCAGGGAATTCTGGGAGTGTCAATTTACGGTTTGTCACTGTAAAGTATACAACGACTTTTTCTTTTTCACTTCTAAAAACCTTATTTTTAACAGTATTTTACTGTAAAATTACATTAAATGTAATTACATGTATTCACCGAATATAGTATGGAAACTTACTGTTAACCAGTTAACAGGTTTTTACTGTAGCATTTTCACAATCTTTTACTGTTAAAAGTAAAATCATTTTTAACAGTATATATATATACTACTGTTAACCAGTTAACAGGTTTTTACTGTAGCATTTTCACAATATTTTACTGTTAAAAGTAAAATCATTTTTAACAGTATATATATATACATATATATATATATATATACACACACACACACAGTATTAAAATATCCATAAATATAGGCAGCATTTTAAAACACAGTTTTCTTTCAGTAAAATACTGTATTCATATTTTGACTAATTCATCATTTTAAATTCATTTTTTGTCATAACAATAAATTACTGTTAAAATGTATGACAATTCACAGTCAGGAATTTTTTGCAGTGTTTTGCATTTTTTGCAGTGTAAGTTAGTATGACAACAAATGTTGTTCTCCTAATTGTGTTTGTTTATCGATGTCTCTGTAAGCTAAAAGTGTGAAAGTACAGCTGGTGAGATTTGCAGTGAGTTTAGCTGGATATGTGAATGAATCTGCAGTGATGGAGGCCATAGAGAAGAAGGTGAGATGTTATTTAAATACTGTATCTGAGCGACGACAGATTGATCTCGTTGACTAATCACAGATGAAATCTGCTCTCCAGATGAATCAGATCCTCTCAGATCAGCAGATGGACGCTGGATCCAGCGTAACGTGGAGAGTGCAGCCTGATGGCCAGATCTTCCAGCGGCAGGAACCAAACACACAAAACACAACGAGCTGTGGACAATGATTGTACACAGTAATGATTTTATTAGCTTAAAGAGTCTTTATAGTTATTTTTAAGAATGGGCATTTCAAGGCATTTTATACTATACGATAAAAAACCCAAATGGTTGGTCATTTTAAATGTAAGATCTCATTTAAAAATGCAAGTATGAAATATGTGAAATATACTGATTGCACTCATGTAAAATTTTCTAATTTGAACAATTTGCATTTACAATAGCACTGCACTCCCCAGTAATTCCCCCATTAGCTCACCGCTCATCTTACTATGAATAAATCATATTTGTATTACTTCACTTACACAGAAAATACAATCTGAAAGTAGCTGAGTTATTAATTACTGTTGCAACAATTGAACAAGTTCAGGTGATTACTATGAAATTACTTATGAACGTTTTACTTTCTTATTATTTCACATTTATTTTATTCTGTCATTATAATTGTACCTTGTTTTTTGTTTTTTTACAATTTAGAATAATGATAATATCTAGAATAATGTTAATAGCACAATAAGCCTGTATAGTGTATAGGTTCATGTATTTCAAAGACCTTTTCACTTATATTGAGATCAATTTCTTCATTTATTTCCCCCTTTTGATCAATCATGTCATATACAGGGGAAACTTGATAAACATACACTTTATGAAATACTTGATTCAGAAAAAAATAATAAAACTGCATGATGTCCTTTATGACTTTGGTGCAATATTGCACGAGTACATGACATAAATAATGCTGTTCTCAATATTAAAATATCTGCAAATCCACAACTAATTGACTGCACTTTTCCCATCAGGTTAAATCCAAAAAGTTGCATGTATTTATTTATTTATTTTAAGTTCGTCTATTCTTTATATATATATATATATATATATTTTTTTTTTTAGTTCTAAATCTTTATTATTTAAGCACTGTTAGAATCTTGCAGGACAACATTAACTTATCTGCCAGCTCAAAGGGCCATGATAACCATCACAGTTGTTTAGACAGTAGAAAGTGATTGTTTACTGCCCTCTCATGGTTAGGCAGAGAAAGTGGCTAAATTATGTTGGTTAAGAACAAACAAACAAAAACTACATTAGGAGCAAGCAAATAAACCGCACTGCACGAAATTCTTCACTATCGAATATCTAAAGCCAATGAGTTGGGAGGCAAGTGAATTAATGCTGAGATCAGATGACATTAGATAACTTTCTGGTGATTCTGAATATAGTCAATGTAGAAAAGGTTGCGAGTTGGTAAAAATGTGTTTATTCCCAAATTGCGACTGTCAAGCTGAGATCTCCTAATCACAGTGAATATTCAGATATAATAAAGAGAAGATTATATTGCATTTGTGTGATGGGTGGACATTATCAGGCAAGGTGCCTGAAAAAGTTTGCACTGGTTTTGAACAGGTCTCCTTTAACACGCAAGCTGTTGCATTAGTCGAATAGCTTCAAGGAGTGTGTTAATGTCGGGTTCGGGTTAATTGAGGGAGGCAAGTGAATTAATGCTGAGATCAGATGACATTAGATAACTTTCTGGTGATTCTGAATATAGTCAATGTAGAAAAGGTTGCGAGTTGGTAAAAATGTGTTTATTCCCAAATTGCGACTGTCAAGCTGAGATCTCCTAATCACAGTGAATATTCAGATATAATAAAGAGAAGATTATATTGCATTTGTGTGATGGGTGGACATTATCAGGCAAGGTGCCTGAAAAAGTTTGCACTGGTTTTGAACAGGTCTCCTTTAACACGCAAGCTGTTGCATTAGTCGAATAGCTTCATGGAGTGTGTTAATGTCGGGTTCGGGTTAATTGAGTCTGTCAGGATGACACGTGACCTACCTGAGCTCGACAGGACAGGTAGGTTCACATAGTTTCGCTCGAGTGAATGCTGAAAGAGGCGCGATCGAGACTCACAGTTACCTGCTGCGCGACTGCAAACGAGTCTCTGCGCTTATTTAGCGATTTATTTATTTATTTCTAATAGCAAGTTTGGTACGTGGTTTATTTCGTCCGCACGTTTCCTGTAAGCCTCTCTGGGAGCCTCACAGCCGAAATGGTAAGTTTGTTTAATTTAACACGCTTCAAACAAGCAAGAATGCATTCAATAGCGAGCCGCACATTACTGCTGAACAAAACACAACCGCGCGCGTTTCTTTTAATTACAACTTCAATATTTCTATTAAACACAGCGGAAGTTGAGCTTCTAAAGAATATTTCGTTGACTAACACTGTTGCAGATGCTGAAGACGGTGTGTGTGTGTGTGTGTGTGTGTGTGTGTGTGAGTGAGGGCTGATGCTGTTTATTGCATCTGACTCTATTGATAATTCTCAGACTTTATTAAGGCTAAATCTAGCTACACATCATCTGTGGCGTCTCGTGCACATGTTTTTATTTATTTTATTTATTGATTTCCAACATATAATATAAAGGTACTGAGACAAATATAAACTACAAAAAAGAAATAGAAAATATACAGTATTATATAAATAATAATAATAATAATGCAGGTAAACAAATAAAAATAATAATAATAATTAAAAAAAAAACTAAACAGAAAAAAGAACAGGTATGAGATCATTATATAAATAACATAAACGCTTCACAAAGAGACCTAGTGCGTTTTGCTTTACTGTTTTTCCACCCAAGTAGTAACTCAATATAATTGTTCATGTCTATCTGAAATAACAAAAAGTTGGGTTTTCCTTTAGCCCATTTCTGTTTATGTATATGGTATTTCCCCATAAATCAAACAAAGATTAACAATAAAGCCACATGTCTATTAAAATAAAAAGATACATCTGGTGCACATGTGTAGGCTTGTGTATGTCATCGCTGACGTCACGTATTTTGACTTTCTGTGCGTCGTCATGCTTGCTTTGCTGAAATACGCCTGATGTTGCAACTCTCGATGAGCACCATTTAAAGGCAAGACACCACCCTAACCCTAGCAGCTGAATAGAGTAAAAGAGTTTAACTATAGATATTACATCCCCAGTTCATTGACTGCTTTAAATAGCTATTATTATCATTATTACACGTTATCTGAAATGATATGTTTAAATATGCTAAAGAAACAGGTTCTGAATTCTTCTTTGGTTTTGTTGACATACTAAAGTTTTTTTTTTTTTTTTTTAAAGGGGTTTTGGATTTCTCTTGTTATCATTACTGAAATAAATGAACTTTTCCACGACATTCTAATTTATTGAGATGCACCTGTATACTGTCAACTGACAGAAAAGCAGATACATTTTAATCATGTTTTTAGGAATAAAATGTTTTATGTCTATAATCAGGCTGAATGATGTACGAACAAACCATTCTATAAAAAGAATTAAAACTAGTTAAGTTTGGTTTATGTAAGTGCTGCTCAAGTGGAGAAAGAAACGGCCCTTAACCATTTAGACAAAAAGGTTCTTCTATGGCATCGTGAAGCACCTTTATTTTTAAGAGTGTATGTATTGCAATTGAAATCTGAATAAAGTGCAATCAAATCTCTCTGTTTCATTAATGTTCTGGACATAATTGAACCTTATTCTATCCTTGCTGTGTTTTTCACAGGATGGCGATTCGCTGTTTGGTGTCTCAGGTCTGATTATGGAGGTGAGACTCTGATTAACTTGCTCTGGATCATTAATTTAATAAGAATTAACTTCACTCTTGTTGAATATCAAAGTCCAGCCTGTTCATTTTACACACAACTCAAGAAAACACCTGGAGGTTTGTAGATGCAAGAAAGAAAAGAAAGAATATACAAATAATCGCTCAAATGTCCAAAGAGGAACCTATGTGTGTGTGCTTGCTCTTCTGATCCAGTCTAAACTCGTTCACTTTGACTTGCTCTCCACTAGAACGGGATCCGCAGCACCTCCTGGAATCCTTTCTGTTCGAACCCACAGGTATTAATGTCCAAAAAAACTTCACTCTCAGGAAGATTTGTAAAGAAATTAACACTTTTATTAATAAAAGATGCATTCAGTTGATCAAAAGTGACAGGAAAGACATTTATAACGTTACAGAAGATTTCTATTTCAAATAAATGCTGTTCTTTTGAACTTTCTGTTCATCTGTGAATCCTGAAAAATAAAATGCATCACAGCTTCCACGGAAAAATATTGTGCAGCACAGCTGTTTTCAACATTGATAATAATCAGAAATGTTTCTTGAGCAGCAAATCAGCATATTAGAATGATTTCTGAAGAATCATGCGAGTAATGATGCTGAAAATTTAGCACTGCATCACAGAAATAAATTACAGTTTAACAGAGATTCACACAGAAAACAGCTTATTTCAGATCTATCAGCAAGTCACTCAAAGCTCATATGGCATTGAAATCCTCACCTGTTCTGTTGAATCTGCTTGTATTTGCAGGACTATGATGTGAAAACGGAGAACAATGTGTTGCCAAACATGACGAGTTTCACAGACGATCCTTTTCCGGCTCCGGACTGGGTTTTGTTTCCTCCTCCTGATTTTTATAAAGACGACACTGCGAATGGCTTCCAGAGCACGCCAGCGGCAGGCACACGGAGTGAAGAAACAGACATTTTCCAGCCTTTTAAAGAGAAAGCAGGCACTGGTGTGACACACAGCAGCTCAGCCAATCAGAACGCAGAATCCTGGCCTTCGTCCAATCAGAGTGATCCTCTCCTGGAATTCATCCTCTCCAGACAGAAGAATTTCCAAGCTTCTCCACCACCATCTGAGACCACCAGCGTTTTCCAAGAAGCGTCCGGTTTCCTCGAGACTCCTTCCCTGTCCACCTCGCTGCTCGTTTCTAATACCAACCCGACATCTGACCATATTTACAAGACATCCTCGTCCGACATCGAGACGTTCGATCCTCTGTTTGCCCCTCAGAATGAAGTCCAGTCCAATCAGAAGAGCAGTTACGATCTACTGTCCCATGTTGCTTTGCCAAACCGAGCCGCTCAAGAGACGTCAGCTTTAGCAACACCTTCCACAAGCATCTCAAACGGAGATCCGGTGAGAAACAAATGGGTATAACATGAGAGTTTTTTAGTTCATTTCTGTTCATTTTAAGCTCATCTGGATTCTAGTGGGACTCTAAAAGTTGACCAGATGAGCTTTTATGCTCAGATCAGTCGTATTTCAGTATCGTTGAGAAACTATTGAATTCAGGTAAATTGGGACCGTTTTTGCCATTGAGACGACTAGGACAAAATTGTGCTCAATTGATCCTATTATTTTGATTATTATTTAAAAAAATATATATATATATTTTAAATGTTATTTTGATTATTTTAGTTAAAATATTAATAATTGTATTGTGTGTTTCTGTTATTATTATTATTATTATTATTATTATTTAAATATGCCTCCGTAGCTTTTTTTCAGTTTTAGTTAGTTTAGTGCTTCAAGATAAACTAAATGAAGATGAGAAATGTTGCTTTGGCAACTAGCTGAAATCAAATCAAATATTATGTTTTATGTTATCTCAGTTATAGTTTATTTCAGTTATTTTTGTATGGCTCATTTTAGTGTTAGTTAACTATAGTAACCCCGACTCGCTTATACTCTTGTAAAATGTACAGTTTTTCTCTTCCAACCCAAAATATTGATTATACGTGTAGATATTTGACCAATAAAATGCTTTCTAGAAATATTTCAGCAGGAAATACACTACCAGTCAAAAGTTTCTGAACAGTAAGATTTTTGATGTGTTTTAAAGAAGCCTCTTCTGCTCACCAAGCCTGCATTTATTTGATTAAAAATACAAAAAATACAGTAAAAATTGTGAAATATTATTATAATTTAAGACAGCTGTTTTCTGTGGGAATATCTGTTAAACTGTAATTTATTGCTGTGATCAAAGCTGTATTTTCAGCATCATTACTCCAGTCTTCAGTGTCACATGATCGTCAGAAATCATTCTAATATGCTGCTTGGCTGCTCAAATTATTTTTATTATGTTGAAAACAGCTGAGTAGAATTTTTTCAGGTTTCTTTGATGAATAGAGCGTTCATTTATCTGACATAGAAATCTTTTGTAAGATTCTAAATGTCTTTATCATCACTTTTGATCAATTTAAAGCGTCCTTACTAAATAAAAGTATTAATTTAATTAATTATTTAATAAATTTGTAATTATACTGACTCCCAGCTGAAATAACTGATCTTTGGATCTTTCTATTCATCAAAGAATCCTGAAAAATATATATATATATATATATTATTAATTATAATAATCAGAAATGTTTCTCGAGCAAATTAGAATGATTTCTGGAGGATCATGTGACACTGAAGACTGGAGTAATGATGCTGAAAATTCAGAGAAATAAATTACAGTTTAACAGATATTCACATAGAAAACAGCTGTATTAAATTATAATAATATTTCAAAATTTTTACTGTATTTTTTTGTATTTTTAATCAAATAAATGCAGTCATGGTGAGCAGAAGAGACTTCTTTAAAACACATCCTCCTGTTGAGAAACGTTTGCCTGGTGGTGTACATCGACACAGAAGGAAACCTGCGCTCATCAGATCATTTCATGGGCTCTTTAGGGCTTTATTAGACCTTATTATAATATGTTCTTCTTGTAGATGTTCAGGAGGCGTCCTCCCAAAGCTGGTCCTCGCAGTAAACCCCCGAAGAGCCTCCTCCAGCCTCCTGCTCTCTCTCAGGTACTGTAGCTCTCTTCAGTTTCACTGCTAACCCTTTCGTAGATGAGCTCTAGCTGATGTTTGTCTCTGATGAGAATCTTCAGTTTTGTGCTGCCACTCGTTCTTCTGCTGGTGTTCAGATCAGATCCAGACTAGTTCATCATCTCGTCTTTCTCTCTCTTCTTTGCTTTTCACGTCGTCTTTTCTTATTGCTACAAAAGCATGACATGTAAACACGGAAAAGCAGATACAATATAATGTCCATTTGCATAAAACAAAACTGTAGAGGAAAGAAATTTTTATTTTTTTTATTTTTACAGTATCTAGTTGATGTAAGTATTTTTTTTTTTTATTTTTTTTTTAATGTTGCTATATTTTGTATAAGCTTAAAGGTGTAGTACAAAGAGAAATAAAAAAGGGGCATGACAAGCAAATAACAAAAATAATAATTTATATATATATTGTTTTTTTTTATACAAATACATTTATTTACATTATTATTTAAATAATACTACTACTACTACTAATAATAAACAAGCGAATTTAAATAATAATAATAAGTGAATTTAAATAATTGAATCGTAAAATATAATTACTTTTTTTTATCAACTATTGTACAAATCATTATTAAAGTTGTACTAGCCTTCATGCCTTCTTAAATTATCCATTTCAGAATTAAATTTTCATTTATAAATATCCAAATTTAATATCAACATGAAGTAAATCTGTACCATATTTGCTTTTATTGTTTTATTTAAGCACTTTTCTGGTCTTTGTGTGCACAATCTATCAGTAAATATTATTCTAAAGAATAAAGATGTTTGTTTTCAAAATATGTCAGTCATTTGCTCTGCCTTTGAAGCAGCTGTCTTCTGCTGTTGTTTCGTCTCAGGCTGTGTGCTTTTGGTTAGTGGTCAAATAGTCAAATCAAAGACTGTAGGTGAATCTTTCTAAAATCTTGCCAATAGTTCATCTTTGTCCAGTAATCACAACAAATCAGGAAAAGTCATCTCTGATTCTGATATGAAACACCCAGTTTTCACAATCCACTATGAAATCGTGTGCATTTTATGTACGTTGTATGTATTTTTCCCCACTCTGTGGTTATTGCATGTTTGAACTAGCAGTGAATGTAATCTTCATGTGTTATTACGTGCCGTCTGTGTGTTGATGTCTAAGCTATTAGACTCCAGACTGTTGGTGAAATGTTCTCTGTGCTCGACACTGTGATGAAGCGTGTTGTTATGATCTGTCAGATCACGGCGGCTGCGATGGAGAGCGATCCGTCGGTTTATGAGGACGTTCTTCTCATCGGTCAGGTTTGTGTGCTGCATTTTAGCCGGTCCCTGTGTTTCTGAGGGTGTTTCACCAACTACAGCCTGGTTTTGTCGAGTTTTTTCTTCCTCAATCAACATTTTACAATCTCAAGTTTACAAGTTTTAGTTGGTTTGGGAGAAAAAAAAATGATATAATAATAAATAAATAAATAAATAATAATATAAAAATATAGAAATAATTGAATACAAATATTTATTTATTTATTTAACTAATTAAAAAAAAATATA